GCAGGTGGCCCATGGGGGAGGGGGATGAGACGGGGTGAGGATGACACTTTGAGGCTCTAGAGATCACCCAGCCCTTGGCCTTGCACTTGGCATATGCCCAGGACTGATCCCTTTGGAGCCCGATTGCACTCAGCCAATGCTGACTTCTTTGCTCCTGCAACTGGGACACCTCTGGATGGTGGATGGGTTTCCAGGAATGAAGTGAATGAGAAGCTGGGGTAGCACTTGGCTCTGGTACCCAAGATGGGTTGGAGGAATAGAGCAGGAACCTAGGTATCCCTGGACTTGTGGACAGCAAGGGGGCTGCTGATGTCTGCTTCAATTACTCCCCCAAACTGGTTAGTGTTTCCTGGGCCTGACTGGAGGGGATTGAAAAGAGGACCACCCACCCTCCTGCCGCCAAGCTGTGGATTATTATCAAGAACAGGAAGCTAGGATACCACAGGGGTGGAGAGGAGGAAGTGAGCAAAAGCCCTCCCCTCAACTGGTCCCCCAAGTGCCCCAGGTTTTCCTGGTCTGAGCCCCACTGACCAAGGGCAGTCTCATGCAAAGCTGGGACCCAGCAGTTGGGGACTGAGGGCAGATAGCAAGGAAACCCAGGAGATGAGGAAAATAGTTAATGGGGACCAGAGTGGACTTACATGGTTGAGGATTAACACAACTCTAAAAAATTCCCAGTTCCCTTAGAGCATGTCTGTGGGGGAAGAAGTAAGAATAGGTACTCCTTGCTTCCTGCCCACTCCCCCTTCCTTCCACTGGGCGTCCGTGGAGGTGTGTGGTCAGAGTATGAGAAGGACAGACAGGACAACACCTGAGATACTCCCTTCACCCGGACCATTCTCGGGGTTGGGGGGTGGTGGTGTGGTTCTGGAGCATACTCTAAGAGGGGTTGAGCCCACAGCAATCTGAGAGTCCTTAGTTCTCAGTCTGTCTCCTCATTCGAATTACTGGCATGTTCTCGTGAGTTGAGATGCCAACCTCCAGAAAAAGTGCAGTAAACAAAGTGAAAGTCGGCAAGACCTGCGTGTGAGCCTGATCTGTGGTTTTGGAGTCCTGTGGCCTTGGACAAGTTGTTGAGCCTCAGAGTCTCCTCCTCAGCTTCCTCCTCCCCCAGGAGAGTGGAAGCACCTCCCTCACCAAGGTCAGCCGTGTGAGCAATGCATGTGAGGCTGGCGCTTTGAGCATAATAGCATGTGTTCCCAGCTGTCCAGCCGGGCCAGGGAGGCTGGGAGCAGCATCCGGGTGGAAGGAAGTGTGGGTTGCAACCCAAGTCTCTTCTCTCATTGGACTCTGATCCCCTCTTCCTCACTGCCCTGCCAGCGTTTGGGGAGACTATGCCTGGGACAGTTCCAAGCCATCAGTTGGCAGGTGAAAACTTCTGGAGGTGAAAAGTCACCCTGGGACCTCCAGGCTGACACCCCTTCCAGCAGCCCAGAGAGGCAAGAGAGAAGGGTCCCAGTCTCCAGACCTCTATGACTTGTCCCATGTGTGGTCAGTTTCCTCGTTCCTCCTGTCTGTCATGCCTCCTACTCCAGTCCTGCCCTAATTCCAGGGCCCACAGTACAGTACGACTCATGCTGTGAGGCTCAGGTACCCCTCAGGTGGGGCAGGTATATCTAAAATTCCCAAAAGGCATTGCTCCCTGGCAACACATAGGGAACAGGGAGCTCCTAGTCACGCTGGCTCCAGCTCCCAGAGGCAAAAGCTACCACCCTATAAAATTCCAGGTCAGGGAGGACTTGGAGAGAGGGGCCAGGATGGGGTTCAGGACTCCTGGGCTCTGCACGCTCCCTAGCTCTCCTCCATAGCTTCTCTCTGGGGAAGTCCTAGGATCCTAGGTGGTTTCTCTGAGTCCTCAGCCCCCAAAATCATGGGCCAACTAGGGCCAGCTCCTTCTGCCCTATTTTCACAGGCCCAGGCTTGTCCCTGGGCTGTGTGGGGGAGTCAGAGACACGGAGAGCTGGGATCCAGGAGGCTTATCCTGGGAGAAACAGGAAGACACCAGAACGGACACTGGGTGAGTGAGGCAGTGAACCCCTGGTAGGGTTGTGGGAGTGGGTCTGGGCCAGCATGAAGGGGGAGGGGTCCCACTGGACATGTACTGGGGCCACATCCCCGTGCTGGCTTATCTCGATGCCCACCCTCTACTCAGACCCTACTTCCTTACCATCTTTTGGTGTCTGCTGGTGAAAAGACTTTCCCATACCCCCGGCCCTTGGCTAGGGAGGAGGATCACTCTACGTCAGCTTAGCCCTGGGGGAGCCAGTCCAGTACACCTGGAGCTCCAGCTAGAAACCCTAGAAACCCACTTCCCTGCCTAGAGCTGGAACTCTGGACTTTGCAAGGAGGACTTTAGGACAATAAAGAAGCCTCTTCCTCCAGCGGAGCCAGTGAAATGCATGCCTCTTCGGTCAAGTGGCCCCTTCTTCCCCGGGGCTTCTGGTCTCTCTATCCTCCCTGTTGTCCCCAGACACCTGTGCAGACAAACACATGCACACTCCTCCCTCCAGACGTGAGTGCAGCCTCACGGCCCACCCATGCACCTATACACAGAAGCTCACAAATGCCCCTCTGGCCTGCTGCCTTCCCACAGCCTGGGTGGTGGGACCTGGGAGCTCCCTGTGCCCGGTTATCTTTCTCAGAGTGTGGGAGGGAGAACAGGCTGCTTCCTGGGCCGGAGCCACCCTGTCCTTTCCTTCCCAAGGTGGGAGCTGCCCCAGGCCTGCTTCAGCCTGTGGGAGAAGAGGGGAGGGGCCAGGGAGGACTGCGGTGGAAGGGAGAGCACAGGCTGGCTGGAGTTTGGGAGCCAGGATGCCTGGATCTGCGTCCTGCCCTCCTCTGTTGCTGGCTGGCCCTCTCCAGAAGGAATCAGTAAGGTCGTCTGAGCGCTCAGCGCTCGGGAGGACCCCAGGGGCTCTCTAGGGAGAGGATGTGGGTTTGTCTATGGGGGTGGTTGCTGGGGAGGAGTGACAGTTCTGTGGTAGGGTTGTTGTTTTTTGTTTTGTTTTGTTTTGTTTCTGAATGGGGAAGCTGCTCCTTACCTGTAAGAACCTGTTTTCAACCTCTCTGGAGTCCCTTCTCCCACCCTGAAGGCTGCCCCAGACTGAGCGATGGACAGATCTGTGTGACCTCTGTGACGAGGTGCCCCTGCCAGGCTCTGCTCACAGGGCCTGTGTGGAGCCTATGCTGTTCCCATTGTTTCTTGTGTTGTGGGTGCTGCCAGGGAGGATCCAGGACCCTCTGCTGACTTAAACACATGTCTTATCTCCTCTGCCAGACTCTGAGCTAGGATGTTTCCATTCCACTTCCTCGCTTGGCTGTGCTGATGAAGACGATGCTAGAAGCAGCCAAGTGAGACGCGCCCAGGTGAGGCGGGGTGGGTTAGACAGGACACAGGTAGGATGGATTCCGTGTTTGTTGGCCAGCCTGAACCTCCCTTCCTTTCACATCAATTTCCCCAGTTGCTAACCCCTGCCTCTTTGGCAAGAACACCCGCACGCACACACATGCGCACACACATACACACACGCACACGCAGGGCCTGGAAAATCTGATGAGTCGGCACTGCCGAGTTTCCAGGGCCCCATCCAGGGGCCGGGTGGGCGGCTCTGAGGTTTGGGGCTGGGTGGAGTGGGGGAGGAGCACGCAGCCCCTGGCTCAGCTTGTCCTTGAGTGAGGCCAGGCTGGCTCCTGGGCAGATCGGGCCTCCATGCGAGGTCAGGCCCGGCGCCCCCGCCCCGACCTGGACCCGCTCTCACAGAAGCTGCCTTGCTAGTCAGTTTCTATACCTGCCTGTTTTCCTCATGGTCCCTCCTCCCACTTCCTGAGTTTTGGGCCCAAAGCCATTGCTTCTCCTGCTCTTTCTCCCCTCAGCTGTCTTGGGGTGGGGTGGGGTACCTGAGTAAACAGCTCGAAGTAGCTGCTGGCTGTAGTTAAGCCAGGCCTTAAGTTCAATATCTTCTAGCCCAGGTCTCCACAGTGACCAGCAGTCCAGCCAGGCTGGGAAAACTTTCCCTGGCAGAAGCAGTGAGAGGTGGGGGAAAGTGCAGAAAAAGCCCTCAGGCCTTGGCCCACTCCCCAGAAACCCTTATTGGAAGGGCTTCAGTTTGAGAGGTGAGGAGCAAACAGGGTGTGATGTTTTGATCAGTGGGGTGAGAAACCCCAGGTTCAAGTCCAGATCCTTTCTTTACCCGCTGTGGGCCAGGGTCTTCTAACTTTGGAAAGCAGCTTCCTTATCTGACACTGAGAGGCTTGGACTGAGGACCAGGTGGGGTTTTCTAGGTCTACAGTCACAGTGACTCAGGCCTCCAGGATGTTCTCTTGTGCTCCTGTCCACAGGAACATGATACCACATGGATCCACAGAGAGAGAAACACACTCATAGTGTCCCATGCACTCCACACACAGGGACACAGATATCACCAGGATCCATGACACATACACACACACAAAATCTCTCATGTGTTGATGGGGCCAATAGGTATCACGGTCCTCCGACGGAACCAGCCACCATGCTCCCCACCCACAGGCCATCTCTCCTGGTCTCCATGGAGCACAGGACATTTTTCTCCCTGGAAGCGGGGTGGAGGTGGGGGAGGCAGAGGGAGGAGGTGGGCTTGTTCTGCACTCTGATTTACAGTTCTTTTCCACCTTCTGGGCCCTGAGCCAGTCCCCACCCCTCTCCCCTCTCTGCCTTGCCAAGGCTGGGCGGTCTGGGGTGGAGCAGTGGTTCAGGGCCCAGGGTGGAGAAGCCGCCCCTTGCTCTTCCATGCCTGCTGCTGTCTGCCCACCGCCTGCCTGCAGCTCTGGCCTTCCCACCCTTGCCCACCCGTCAGCCAGCCAGCCAGCCAGCGGGACAAGGGAGGGCTGAGAAGGGGGGGGACTGGCTCCTCTCCGCCTGACTCCCAACTTCCCCTTGCAGACACTGAGATGAGGACCCCAATCCTGGTCGCTGCCCTTCTCTGGCTCCGGGGAATTTGGGCAGAGGTAAGGTGGGCATGAGGGTGACCACGTCAATTGGCAGGGACCCTGCTCTCTGGGGCACATCCAGCCTCATCTCTCCAGGAGCCCCACAGCTGGTCTGCATTAGGAGAACAGAGGCTGCTCCCCTCCCGCCGGGTGCAGAGAACAGTGTGAACAGATTGCTCCTGGAGCACCTCGGGTTTCCTCCCTCCACCCGATAACCCTTCAGCTGTGTCTGGTGGAGTGGCCGACCACGTGAGAGCCTTCTTTCAGGCCTGGCCTTGTCCGCTGTGAACTTCCACATCCACCTTCTCGTCTCTCTTGTCTCTCCCACAGAAAGATGAATGCCACTCCCTGGAAGGGGGCCCAGCTGGGGAGGGTGGAGGTAGGTGTCTGCTGTCGGGCAGGGAGGTCAGTTGTGGGGTGTAGGTTGTCCAGGCGGACTCTGCTTCTTCTGGGCAGACCGGGTATTGGCAGACTGACTATAACCCCTTCTCTCTAGGACCATCTCTGACAGCAAACATCAGCAGCCAGGGGCAGCCAACCAGCTTCACTGTGAGCTGGGAAGCTCTAGAGCCCGGAAGGTCCGACCATGCCCTCCGCCTCACCCACCTGAGCCCCCTTGGCTTGCCCCAAGGGCCCCAGTTCCAGGTCCACACCAATGCATCCAGCTTTGAGTTTCAAGACCTGGTGCCAGGGACCCACTACCAAGTGGAAGTGACTGCCCTTCGACCTTGTGCACAAAATGCCACCGTCACCCTCACTGCCCGCACTGGTGCGTAGTCTACAGGCTTGGGCAGGAAGTGGCTGCTCTGGAGCGCTGGCAGAGGGGAGAGCAGGGTTAGCCACACAGTCCTTCTCAGAGGACCAGGCCAGGCAGGGTGACCACTCAGAAGCACTGGAAGCAGAAGGGTGCTTCTCCTCATCCTCTGACCCTGATGCTTCTTTCAACCTCTGTAGCCCCAATGACTGTCCGTGACCTGCGGTTCCAGAGCTCTGGGGGCCCATCCAGCTTGACAGCCTCATGGGGCGCTGCTCCTGGGGAGCAGGATGGTTACCAACTTGTCCTCTTTCATCTGGAATCCCAGAGCGTGGTGCACAATGTCTCCATTGCGCCAGGCAATCTGTCCTACAGCTTTGGCAACCTCTTGCCAGGGAGCATGTATATCTTGGAGGTGACCACTTGGGCTGGCAGCCTCCAAGCGAAGACCAGCATCCAGCAGTGGACAGGTGAGACGAGTACTTGGCCAAGGGCTCAGCTGGTGGCAAAGCTGGGTGTGAGGACAGGGCAGTGGTGAGCCCAGAGCCTCAAAGGCAGGTGTGTCCCAACGTGGCTGTGCTCCTGGGCTCCCTCGTGCCAAGGCCGGTGCTAGGGTCCTGCTGTCGGGCCCTTTCACCTGCCTGACTTTGCTCTATCTGTCCTTTCTCCAGCCCCCGTATCTCCAGGGCTCCTGGAGCTGCATGCGGTGGGCACCCGTGCCCTGCACGCCTCCTGGAATGGCTCGGAGGGGGCTACCTCGATCCACCTTTTACTCACAGATCTTGTGGATGGCACCAATCTGACTGCAGTAGTCGGACAGGAGGTCTCTAACTACACCTTCCTTCACCTCTCTCCGGGTACCCCCTATCAGTTGGTGCTTACTTCTGTTGTTGGGCCACATCGGACAGTGGGGCCCAACATCACTGAATGGACCTGTGAGTGCCTGACAGAGGGTGGTGGGGAGTTGAGACAAAGGCCACTCCTCACTTGGAGGGGAAGCCCATAGCCAGATGGTCAGAGGAAAGGTCCTTTGACATTTAGAGAGGGAAGGAGTGGGCCTTGGAGGGTTGATGCATCCCTCTCATTGGCTGATGGAGTTACACTTATGAGAAAGCAATGATGATGATGCTAATAGTTATCATCGCCTCAACCCTCGTGTGTGCCAGGCCTTGGGCTAGCCTCTGCCCATGTGTCACCTATGTAACCCTGTGGTCGTACTTGTTAGCTCTTAAGTTGATTATTTTTCATGACAACCCCATGTGTGCTGAGTACAGCTGCTCCATAGGGAGCTTTTAATATTATTTTTTTAAAATCTTGGTTTTTAGTGACTTTTTTTTTGTATTCTGAGTGAAAGTTTCTGCAAAATTGGTTTTTCATTCAATAGCTCATACACATTATTTTTCACAACATTGATTAAAACTCCCACCTTGTGACAGCACTCTGCCCAGTTCCTCCCTGTGTTTCCTATTGCCATTCTTCCCTGCCTTCTGAGTTTTGTCCATGAGCAGATGCTGTCCTTTTGCTCTTGAATGGGAAACAAGCCTGGGCTGGAGGAAGTGAAAGCAGCCTGCTCCTTGGAGGCAAGTTGTGAAGCTCTGTCTCATATACTTTGGGCATGTGGCCAGGAGGTATCAGTCCTTGGAGAAGGACAACATGCTCGAAAGTGTGGAGGGACAGCACAGGAGAGGGAGATCCCAGATGAGATGGATTGATACAGTGACTGGGACAATGGGGGTAGGTGTGTCAGAGTCAGTGAGACTAGCTCAGGATAGAGAAGGGTTCTAGTTGCAGGTGACTTGATGGCACCTAATAACAACATGGGTAATTGTTCTGAGGAGTGAGTATCTCCTTGGTGTTTTTGTCCACCTTCTAGGTTTGCCTATTGTCTGGCTGCAAGTTGAGTCACGTGGATGTTTTCCGTCCCGGGCTCGAAAGGTGGCTCAGGGCTGTTTAGGGAGCTCTGATGACAGGGTCCGTAGGGAACTGCCCTGCTAACCCAAAGGCCCAAATGAGTGAGTGGATGAAGGGTCATAATCTTTAGAGTTCTACCAGTCTTTAGCAGATCACAAAACTGATCTTTTGCTCTGTACTTTTCTCCCATCCATCTAAGACTTTATTGAGATCTTTTCAGCATGTTAAACAGTGCTAGCCGGGCACCATCTCAAATCTTCTGGTCTTAGGCTTGTGGAGACTGGAGTTCATGTGATCTGTTAGCCCTTTGAACTAATCAATAAACTTCAGACTCATTGCACTGAGTCCAAATTGACTCATAGCTGACCCTCCGGTGGTTTTTCAGAGGCTGTAAATAGCATGGAAGGAGATTGCCTATCTTTCTCCCTTAGAGAAAGATGATGAATTTAAACTGCCAGAGATGCACCACTGTCGAGTTAGCAACACAACTTTCTACCCACCAGGTCACCAGAGCTCCCTTTTGGACTAATGTTGTTTTGTTATGTGTCGTAGAGTCTCCTGTGATTCATAGCAACTTTATGTACAACAGCTCTGAAGCCCTGTCCTGAGCCAGTCTCACTGACTCTGACACACCAATCCCTATTGCCCCAGTTACTGTATCAATCCATCTCATCCGGGGTCTTCCTCTCCTGAGCTGTCCCTCCACCCTTCCGAGTATGATAGCCTTCTCCAAGGATCCTTGTCTAAAGTATGTGAGATGGAGCTTCAAAATTCTAACCTCCGAGGAGAAACTTGGCTTCACCTTCTCCAAGACAAACCTATTTATTTTCTTGGTGGTTCTTGATATGTTCAAGAGTCTTGCCCAGCACCACAACTCAAAGGGATCAATTCTCCTGCCATCCTTAGTCATTGTCCGGCTCTCTGATGCATAGCAAGTAATTGTGAAGACCATGACCTAGATCAGTGCACCTCAGTCTCTAGACTGACATAGTTGCTCTTCAGTACTCTGGAAAGGTCCCTGACGGCAGATTTACCTAATGCAATTCATCTTTTGATTTCCTAACTGCTAGTGCCAAGAGTGTTGGTGGTGGAGCCGAGCAAGCTGTAACTGTTAACAACTTCAACCTCTCCTCACTCTTCTTTTCTCTGGACAGAGAGAGAAACCAGTAGTGCACCATAGATGGCCCATTGCAAACTTTGAAGACTCTCGTAACTATTCACCAAATTAGGATGTAGAATGTTGTCTATGTTTTGCCAGCTGACCTTGCTGTCCACTGTGGCTATGTGCCCCAGACTCACTCAGGTCTGTGGTTATGACTCCACAGGATTTTCAAAGACATGACATCTGGGGGACAGGCTACTAGGTTGGTCTTCCTGGTTACCTTGAGTGGGGCTTGAACCAGCAAATATGTGTTTAATGGTAGAGCATGTACTCTTCCCACCACCCAGGGACTCCGTGTTAATGGTATTGTCCCCATTTTACAGTAGAGAGGGCTGGGTTGCAAGAAGGCAGCGAACCTAACTGAGCTAATCTGAATCCAGGTCGGATGCTTGCGATGACTTTCTAGACTTTTTCTGTGTTTTCTACTCAGTCTTCTGTCAAGCAGTGTTAAGTGCAGTGGAGCCAGGCTACCTGTGGTTTTGATATTATTTCCACCACTCTCTGGCTGTGGATTTTTGGACAAATGGCTTGTCTTCTCTGTGCGTCAATCTTCATATCTTGAAACCAAACAGCAGCAACAACAAAACACAAACCCACTGCTATTGAGCCAATTCTGACTCATGGAGGCCCCGTAGGATGAAGTAGCACTTCCTGTAGAGTGTCTGAGGCTGTAAATCTTAATAGAGATCACCTCCTCTCTCTTTACCAGAGTAGTTGATGGGCTCAAACTGTTGATCTTTTGATTAAGTGGCAAATGCTTTGACCCCTGTACCACCAGGTTCTTTATTTCTTATAACTGAAAAAGAACCCCATGGAAAAGGAAAAGGGGATGGTCCACTTGATAGTGTTGTGAACAGTACGGGATGTATAGGTAGTACATTCACAGTGCTTAGAGCTAGGGCCGATATGGCACTGTTGTTTATGGCCATATGAACAGAACCCTATCTTCATGCAGAGCTTGGTAAATAATGAGCGCTGGCATCTGAACGGGGTCCAGTGAATGTAAAAAGAAGAGGGCACAGAATGAGGAAAGTTTCTTTCATCCAGTGCTTAGGTTTCTCTGTACATACTTGTCCCTTTCCTCCCCAGACCCCTCCGCCCCCCAGGAACTAGTGCTGACCCCTCTGCCCCCAGAGCTCTGGGCAAGCTGGAAGGTTGGACCAGGTGCCCGGGATGGCTACTTGCTGAAGTTAAGTGGGCCAGTGGAAAAGACTGTCACTCTGGGCCCTGGGGACCTCAATGTCACATTCCCAGGGCCCCTGCCTGCTGGACACTATGCTCTGGAGCTGAGGGTTCTGGCTGGACCCTATTATGCCTGGGCTCAGGCTAGTGCCTGGCTGGATGGTGAGTCCGAGCAAGGGGTACCAGGAGGGACACTGCCTGGAGCATCCATGACCAGAGATGGGTGTGGGTCCTCACTCTCTGGGATTTTTGTCTCCTCCAGATCCTGCAGCCCAGCATAGAAACAGCCATGGCGCCACTCTACAGCTGGATGGACTGGTAGCAAGCAGGATGCTTGGGAGACGGGCACTGCTGTATGCTAAGGGCACATCAGAGCTCCTTGGAAATATCTCTGTGCCAGCTGGTGCCACCCATATCACCTTCTGTGGACTTGTGCCTGGGGCCCATTACCAGGTGGACATTGCCTCATCTCAAGGAGTCATCACTCAGAGCCTCACAGGCCACACAAGTGAGTTCCAATCACTGTGTCATTGGGAGGGAGTCTTCACCTTAAAGGAGGAAGTCTAGGGGAGAAGATCGAGAGATCTGTACATGGGGCATCATAATACAACAGACGCTATATGGTCCCCTTGCTTAACTATCTCTCTCTTCAGGGCCACTGGCACCACAGTCACTGGAGGTGACCTGCAGGGACAACCCATTTGAGCTGGCCATTGGCTGGACCCCAGCACCAGGACAACGGAAAGGCTACATGGCCACCTGGCACCAAAAGGGTAGCCAGAGGTCACTGGGAAATCCTATCACTTTGGCCCCAGATAGTACCAACCTGACTCTGAGGGCTCTGGAGCCTGGCTCCTGCTACACTGTGTCTGTCTGGGCCTGGACAGGGAATCTCAACTCCAGCATCCAAAGGACTCATGCCTGCACTGGTGAGCTGAAGTCTCTAAGAGGCCAAATCAGGGTGGTTACTTCTTTTACCGCATTCTGTGAGACACATTTTTGCAGAAGATCCAAGATAGGGCCTTTGTTAGTCTATTTGCAAGCATTTTTTTTACTTTCTTACATCTGGTTGACTATTCATTCATCCATTTTTCCATCTACCCATCCACCTACTCATCCATCCATATATCCACTCACTCACCCAGGCATCCTTTCATCGATCCACTCACCCATCCAACCACTCATACATCCTTCCATCTATCTATCCATCCATCTACCGTCCACCCACCCATTCATCCATGTGCTCATTCATTATCCTTCCATCTGCCCATCTATCCTTCCTTCCAGCCACACATTCATCTACTCAGACAAAGGAAGAATCTTTCCATTCATCCATCCACCTATCCACCCATCCGTCCCTCCATCCAGCCATCCATTCGTCCGTCCGTCCATCCATTAACCCACTATCCATCCATTCTTCCATCCACTTGCATATCCAACTACTCATCCATCTACTCACTTAAGGATCTGTAGATCTATCTATCACCTACCCATCTATCCCTCCCTCCATCCACTCACCCATCCACCCACTCAAAGACAAAGGAAGAATCCTTCCATTCATCCATCCGTCCATCCTTACATCTGCCTATCAAACCACCCATCTATTCACCTATGCACCAGCAGACCCATCCATACATCCACCCATCCATTCACAGACCCACCCATCCAGCTATCTATCAATCTATCCATCCATCTACCCACCCAACCACATACCCATCAATTCACTTCTGAGTATATCACAAGATAGGACAGGATTCAGGCCTATTGTTCATAGGGTCGTTATAAGTCACATTTGACTCAATGGCACCTAACAACAAAACAACATGCATCTTTTCATTTATTTACCTGTCCATTCTTCATCCACTCATCCATCCACCCACTCATCCATTCTCCCACCCATCGATCTACATACTCATATACCCACCCAGGTACCCATCTACCTACCATCCATTTTCCCATCTGTGCATCCATCCTTGTCCACCCACTCACCCAGTCACATACTCATCCATCCACCCATGCATACATGCTTTTATCTATTAACCCATCCATCTATCTCTCCATCCTGCCTTCTATTCACACATCTGCCCTTCCATCCACCCACCCAAACACTCCTTCATCCATCCATGCACACGCATACTCAACCTTCTATACCTCTAATATTTAATCCTTTCCATTTTCTCGATATGAGAGTAGGCACCAGGGCTAAAAAACTATAAGCAAGATCGAATAGAAAGGAATATATGGAAAATAAACATGATAAATATGCAAGTTATACATATTATGTGTACAATGTAAGCATATTTATAGGAATAGGCATATTTATTTGGTTTGAACCACCTGTAACTGCATTAAAATGGTCAGATATCAAACATTGGCCATTTCATGGGGGCTATTGGGAGCTCACAGAAGGAGGCAGGGACTGTTTGCTGGAGGAGGAGAGTGAGTTGAATGGAAACTGTGAGTGCCTAGGTACAATAAGGTGTTGAAAGCATTTTCAAAAGGCTAAGGGTGTGGCAAAGCCCACAGTGGGAGACAGTGGAAACTTCGTGTAGGAATGGAATGTCCGCAGGTGGTGTGGAGACCTGGGCCCGCAGAGTGGCTCTGTAAACCCATGTGAGGGGGCCCGGATGAATCCAGCACCATGCATCCAGCAGTTACAGTCAGAGGAAGTGGTGGGAAGTGGCCGTTTGGACACATCTGTAGGAGGTTTTCTTGGAAAAGGAAGGAAAGTGGAGTTAGAACTTTGTGGAAGCTGGACTTTTCGACAGAATATTTGGAGTTTGTTGGACACTAAGTAGAAAGAGGCAGAAAACAGGGAAGCAGAGACCTGAGAGGAATTTGGGTGTTTCTGTTCTGGGTTCTCCTTATCTTTGCAGTCCCTGCTCCTCCTGCCAACCTGAGCCTGGGCTTTGCCACCCAGCCTCCTGCCCTGATGGCTTCCTGGATTGCCCCACCGGGAGGCAGGGATGGTTTCCGGCTGTACCTTTACCGCCTGAGGCCTCTGACTCTGGAAACCAAGGAAACCCTGGCTCCAGAGGCCCAGAACTTCTACCTGACCCAGCTGTCCCCCGGCACCAAGTTCCTGGTGTGGCTGGCTACCCTTCAGGGTCCAGATGAGAGCAACAGTGTCAATGCCACGGGCTGGACGCGTGAGTGCCCCCAAGCCACTCCCCCTCATCCCCCACTTGTGTGGCTTCCTAGAGGATTGTGGGAACCCCTTGACCTTTCTGTCACTGGTGGGCAGGCAGCTGGGATGACTGAGAGCAGGCTCCCCAGTTCCTAAGTGTGAAGAGACCTCACTTCCTTCACTGTTCATTCACCAGGGCCCTGGCCTTTCTGGCGTTCTGAATCTCAGTTTTACTCACTGTTTGAGTAGCTGCAGGCATATCATTCCCCAGCTTATCTCGATGACAGTGTGGAGGGAGGGAGGTGCTGGAGACCTAGCCAGACAGGATACGTGAGTGACTGTTACCAGCAAAGGAGCTAAACTTCACAGGCACTTTGTTAAGTGATCCGCCTGTGTTTTCTTCTCATCGATGTCTTGGGATGCTATTGTAGGTATATGTAGGTACTATAGTTGTGCTCATTTCACAGATGAGGAAACTGAGGCACAGAGAGAAAAAGTAACTTGCCCCAAGTTGAGAAGTTAAGAATCAAATTCAGGCAGTGTGTCCTAGATCCCACACTCCTTACCAGTCCTAACCCCAGCCTGGGAGAGGAGCAGTTGGGGTGTCCCTCTGTGAAGGCACCAGAGAGGCTTGGGGTTAGAGAAGCAACAGGACATGCAGGGTATCACATGGTGATGCTCTCTGGGTATCATATGGTGATGCTCTCTAGCAGCCTGGGGCTTTCAATTTGCTCTGCCCTGGCCCGAGTCCTCCAGGTTCTCTTCTCGATGAGCCCTTGTGGAAACAGGAATAGCTGATGTTCCTGGACTGGCTCCGTCTTCCTCCAGATTTGTGGTCCTCATTCCTCAGCCTTCTTCTTCCACTCTCCCACTCCATCCACCTACCATCGTTTTCCTCTCATTTCCACCTAGAATTCTCTCAGCACAGTGAGACCCCAGACAAGGCTGGGAGGGAGTGCTGTAGGATGCTCCAAAGAGCTCTGGCCTGCAGTCAGGAAACCAGAATCTAGAGAAAGGCTAGTACCTTTCTGCATGCCATTGTCCCGACTAATAAAGAGTTAACTGAGCCCCTGGGTCAGGCTTGTGTGACTCCAAATCCTGGCTCAGACTCAGCAGGAAAAGGCAGTACCTGGACCCACAGACACCTGCCTTTCCTTCAGAAGTCCAATGCACCCACTTAAGAGTCTTTTAGAGGAGTCTCTGGGCAGCACAAATGGTTGACGACTAGGGTACTAATGAAAAGGTTGGAAGTTCGGATCCACTCAGAAGGTTTACAAAAGAAAAGCCCGATGACCTGCTTCTAAAAGATGAGCCCCTGGAAACCCTACACCCACGATTCTGCCCTGGAGCATGTGGGGTTGCCATGCATTGGAACCGACTTGAGGGCAACTGGTTAAAAGTTCCTTAGGGGCTGGTTAGACATTGTCATGAATTAATTACATGAATCAGTGCAGCGCATGTTATAAAACATGTCTAGCACTGATTGTATGAAGAAGGATTTACAAACTTTCACTCAAATTTTTTTAAAAAAAGAAAGAAAAGGGGAAAATAAAAGTTCTTTGATTGGAGGAAACATGGAATTTAAGTGCCAATCAGTCTAGCTCCAGGAGGGATAAGGGTGAAGAGGGAGGAGAGTTAGTGATGAATTCGCTAATTCAACTCACAGTTAGGGAGCTCTGGTGGCCTAGTGGTAAGAAGTTGTGTTGCAATCCCAAAGGCACACAGTTCAAATCCTCTAGCTGCTCCACAGGAGGATGAATCATCTCGTCCCGTGTGATTTATTGACTCTGAACCCCCCCCCCCCGGGGTGGGCGGTCAGCTGTGAGCCAGTTTCGACCTGACGTCTCACCACGACAACGCACACGGAGTTTCTGCTCTGCCTCATGGAGCTAATGTGTGCCTCGCTGCCACGTTGCCTTTAGTGGACCGGTTCCTAGGCTCACCTGCTGACCTTGAACTAGGGTCTCAGACTTTGGGGGCTTCTTTTTTCTTCTTCTTCGTCAGCCATCCTTTTTTATTGCCTGACTTTCAGATGGATACTAAGCAATTGAAAAGACCATGAGTTGGATCAGCCACGCTTTCATTTTAAACCTTGCTCTTTAGGACCTGAATGGATTTCTTTTCTTTTCTTTTTTAAGTTTTCTGGGTTTTTTGGGTTTTTTTTCCCCCCTTTAGAATTATTTTATTAAATCATAAATGTACAACAGCTTCTTAACGCTACACACGCACTTAAAGTTTTTAAAGGAAAACGTTATGTCTTGTTACACCATGATCCTGGCTAATAGCTTTTCAAATCTTTGAGAAAAAAATTTTTTTTTAAATAACACCTAAAGTTTATTAGATGACAGCACACAGAGGAAACGCAATTAGTTGAGGAGCCTACTATCCGTTCCCAAAGGGATGATCGTAAGAATTGAGACCCAAGAGGCGAAATCCGGCCGAGGCCTGGTCTGCTGCCCTGTCGCTCGGGTAAAAAGGGCGGCCTGCAGCGGGCTGGCGCCGCAATTATGCGCGAACTCACGCTCTTGCGCAGCAGCGTAACCCCCGGCACCAAGTTTTCTGGGTTTTATTTTTAATTTTTAAATTAATTTTAATGAAAGTTTACAGAGACTTAGGGCTTCCATTCATTCACTGTTGCACTTTTCTCCCTACCCATCTCTACCCCCATTCACTCTTCTCCTTGAAAAAGAAAAGAAAAACTCTTTCATTGTTATGCAATCACTCCCCCGAAGTCCACTCCACTGTGCAGCCTTCATTCGGGACTCCTGTCATGACAATAATATCCAATAATATATCTCTTTTAAACAGTTCTCTCCCTCATCTTTTTCAATGCAGTATACATCATCTATCCCCTCCTTCTCTGTCTTCCCTCAACCCCATGTCAGTCCCGTTTTACAATAATGGCCCTATGCAATATTTGACCTTTCATGACTGAGATATTTCACTCAGCATAATGTCCTTCAGGGTCTCCCATTTTGTATATTTCATGAGTTCCTTGTTTTTCAATGATGCATAGTATTTCACTGTGTGAATATACCACAGCTTCTCTATCCATTCCTTGTTGGGGGATTCCTTTTCTTAATGTAACACATCTTTTGATTTCTTCCCCCTCTCCTTAATTTGTATTCCTTCATCGTTACGCATTTTTTCCCCTCCCCGTCTCTATCCACTCCCTCATCAAGAACAATTTTATTCATTCACTGCTCCGGGTGCTTCTTGAGGAGCTTGAGGATGGGGGAAGAGGTTGAATGTCTTTTGGGAAATACCCCTATGTCTTGCTCTCTTTGCAGCTCCCCTTGCACCTCTCCTGGTCAACGTGACCACTGGAGGTCCCACCCAGCTCTGGGTATCCTGGGTCCATGCTCCTGGGGGCCGGGACAGCTACCAGGTGACTCTGTACCAGTCAGGCATCTGGGCGGGCACCACCACTGTGGGTGCCGAAGTGGACAGCACCAGCTTCTCAGCTCTGACTCCAGGCACTGAATACAAGGTGGAGGTGCTGTCCAAGGCGGGACCCCTCCAGGCTTCGGCAGCCAATGTCTCCGCCTGGACCTGTGAGTGGGGTGGGGACAAGCTGCCCTTGCAATCCTTGGGTCTCCTCAATGGCATCTCGATCTCCCTTTTACCCTGTGTCTCAACTTAACACGGGAAGGTTGGGGATGGAATCACTGTGCTCCACATTCCGGTGCTCTTTTTCAGGGACCTGACTTCTCTTTTTCTCTTCACAGCCCCGATCTTGCCCAACGAGCTGCTGGTGTCAATGCAGGCAGGCAGTGCCACGGTCAACCTGGCCTGGGCTGACAGCCCCCTGGGGCATGGGGAGTGCCAGGCCCAGCTCTCAGAGGCTGGTCACCTCTTCTGGGAGCAACCCCTGGTGCTGGGTCAAGCCCTTCTCAATCTGAGGGACCTCACACCTGGACGCAGCTTCTCCCTGTCAGTGCTGTGCCGGGCGGGGCCCCTCCAGGCCTCCACTCACTCCGTGGTGCTGCCTGTTGGTACGTTAGCATCTCTCAGGGAAGACAGCCATGGCCTGAGAGGCACACCCCCATCCAGTGGGCAACATGATCCATTCTACTCCAGCCCTGCTGCTCCTAGTGGTGCTGGGCCCGCCTGCCCCAGAGCCATTAGTGGTGCTGGGCCCGCCTGCCTCAGGACCATTGTTGGTGCTGGACCCGCCTGCCCCAGGGCCATTGGTGGTGCTGGGCCCGCCTGCCCCAGGATCATTGGTGGTGCTGGACCCGCCTGCCCCTGGGCCATTGGTGGTGCTGGACCCCCCTGCCCCAGGGCCATTAGTGGTGCTGGGCCCGCCTGCCCCAGGGCCATTGCTTGCAGAGACACAGTGACATAGAAGGGCAGTGCATTTCTCTGTGTGGCCTGGACACTTTCCTGTGGACACAAATACCCAGTCCCTTGCTTTTGATGATTCTCAGAGTCCCTGACCCAGATACCTTCATGTTGGGGTACACTGAGTCTGAACCACACCCAAGGCAAGGCTGTTCACTCCCACAGAACCTGACCCTGTGGAGGATGTGCAATGCCAGCCCGAGGCCACCCACCTGAGCCTGAACTGGACGGTGCCCACCGGGGATGTGGGCGCCTGCCTGGTGGCGGTGGAGCAGCTGGCAGCAGGAGGGAGTGCTCACCTTGTCTTCCAGGCCAATATCTCTGGGGGTGCTCTGCTGTTGCCCAACCTGATGCCTTCCACCTCCTACCGCCTCAGCCTCACCGTGCTGGGCAGGAACGGGCTGCAGAGCCGGGCAGTCACCCTGGTGTGTGCCACTTCTGCAAAAGGTAGGCACTTGGCACAGCTCTGGGCCCCCTTCACACCCTCAGTCTACTTCCATCATCCTCCTGGTTTTCTCTGGTCCCCAAGCCCTAGCCTGGTCCTCTAGCCCTGATCTTGTTGGCTTGATACCTTATTTATTATATTGCAACCTTTCCTCTTACCTGCTATAAGTTCTAAACACTACAAAAAGGAATCCAATGCGTTTACCTCCCTTTCTTCTATCTGCTCATTTTAGGCAAACATAGAAAAATGTTGTGTTATATTTGCCCATGTTCTCCACCATGAAGCAACTGGTGGATTTGAACCACATACCTTTGTGTTGGCTGCACAATTCCTTAACACTAAACCACCATGAATACGGATTATTTTATCTGTTTATTTTCCTTTGTCATCATTGTTGTTACGTGCCATCAAGTCGGAACCAACTCACAGCTGGTTCTCCAGCAGGGTTCCAGACGTTTCAACTTGCACAGGAGGAAATCACCTGTTTTTCTCCCTCAGAGTAGCTAGTGGATTCGAACCATCTACCTTTGGTTTGGCAGTGCTTCTATTACTAGACCATCAGAGCTCCCATACTTTTTCTTAGCTCTTAAAATAATAGTAGCCTCCCACAATATTTGCTCTTTTGTGTACAGCTTATATCACTCAGTGTAAAGTCCTCCAGTTCATCCATGTTCTGTGGTGTTTCTCAACTTCTTCATTATTGATTAGTGCTGCATGGACTCCATTGTGTGCACGGACCATCATCGGTCTGTTCATCTGCTGATGGACGCTTAAGTTTCCATGTCTTTGCTGCAGTGAGCATGAGTGTGCATATACCCGTTATTGTCCTAGCTCTTGTTTCTTGGGGTTCTATCCCTTGTAATGGGATTTATGAGCCAAAGGGTGTTTCTATTTCCCACTTTTTAAGGAGGCACCATGCCATTTTCCATGATGGTTGCACCATCCCACTCTCTCGCCATTGGCGTATGAGAGTTCCAATCTCCCCACACCGTCTTTATTTGCATTCTGTTTTATTGAACTTTGCTATTATTGCTAGAGTGAGATGGTAGCATATAAAATATCTTCTTAAAATTGTAAATATATGTGACATAACATTTCCAGTTTCAACATTTTTCACATGTACAATTCCTTGATGCTCATCATGTTGTGACCACTAACCCTTCCCAATCTTTTGTATCACCTTGAAGAGAAGCTGAGTGTCCCCTGAGCAGTGAGACACCCTTTTCCTGTCCCATCAGCCTACCCTTGATACCTAAGGCACTTTGGTACCTCTACCCTTGTTGACATGGGTCTTCTATTCAATGTGAGTTGATGCTCTGCCTTTGAACCTCATGCCCTGAATCTTCTCCTCCTTTGTAACTAGGAGTCACTTCTGGGAGGGGTCTCCTGGGTGCCAGGCACTGTGCGAGGCCCTGGGCACACATAGGCACAGTCCCTGCCATGGAGGACTGACTTTCAGGCACTTAGTTTGGACTTCACTTTCCTCCTTTCCATCACCAGCCTGGCATCCCCCAGAGTTAGCCCTGGCCCCCCAGCTCGAGCCTGAGAAGGGGATGGGAGTGGTGATCACACGGGGCATGTTTGGCGAGGACGATGGCCAAATCCAGTGGTACGGCATCATTGCCACCACCAACATGTCATGTGAGTACCGGCCCCTAGGAGAGCGTAGGAGGGGGACCAGGCTGCTGGCCAGGTTAAGGGAGGTGAGAGGGGACCTAGAGACTGAGACTCGGAGCTCTCATGAAGAGAGGGCTGGTGTTGGGTTCTGAATGATGGAGCAGGTTAGAGAAATGGGGTCACTTATCTGGAACTGAGAGAGTGGGCTTGGTGTCCCCGCTGACCCTGTCCATCCCTCTCCTGTTCCTTCTCCAGTGGCTAAGCCTCCCCAGGAAGCCATCAACCACACCTGGTATGACCACTTCTATGGAAGACACGATTCCTACCTGGCCATTCTGCTCCCCAACCCCTTCTACCCAGGGCCCTGGTCGGTGCCGAGATCCTGGACGGTGCCTGTGGGGACAGAGGACTGCAGCCAGACCCAGGAAATATGTAATGGTCAACTGAAGCCAGGTGCCCAGTACAGGTGAGGGTTAAGGCTGAAGAGGGGTAGGTACATTATATTAACTTTCTCTCTCTCTCTCGTGTGTGTGTCTGTGTGAATTTAGGCATGTTTCCATATATTTCAACAAAATATCAGAACTAACTAACCAACAATATAATAATTCTTATTGGATGTCCTGGTAGGCTAGGCAAAAAAAAGGGAACATTCAACCATTATCAACCATTGCCTGGTTCTTTTTTCTGAAAAGAAAGAGGACGTGTGCGTGAATTCTGTTCTAGCTTGCCAATGGCTTCCAAGTATCTATTTCTAGACTTCATTCTTGCTCTTGCTCTACAACAGGGAAGATGAGAGGAGAACCGGAAGCTTGCTCTTAGGTGGTAGGGCGTCACTATACAGCCCCTAAACAGATGAAGGAAGGTTTCACTGGGTGTGTCTATCATGGTGATGCTTTCTTGGGAGGTGCCTTGTCTGCCTGTCCCTCCTCAGACGACCCTGTTTCTCTGCCCAGGTTCAGCATTGCCGCCTTTACCAGGTCCAGTCCCCCTGAGCCCGTCATCTCTTTCTCGGCCTTCTCAGGTAGGATGGACCTGGGGTTCCAGCGAGGCCCTGGAGTGGGGAAGGAGTGCAAGCGACCCTTCTCCCGGGACTCACTCCTAACCAGCAGTAGGAGGGACTGAGGTTAGACTCCAGGGAGAACATATCCTACTAGGGGAGCTGAGAGGCCCAGAAGTCCATGTGGAAGGTGTTCTTAGCAACAGAATTTCCCTGAGTGGGCCTGAGACAGGGTCATCAGTGAGACTCTGTGTCAGTGTCCATAATCCTACCACCACCCAGCACAGCGTCTCTCTGCCCATAAGCCACCCAGCCCGTCCATGCTTGAGGCCAGCACCGTCCATCAGAAACATAAGGCAAGCCACACACGGAAATGGTTTGCATTTAAAATGCCCTAGCTGTTGTTTTATGCTGTCCAGCCAGAACCTTCTCATAGCGGACACTCCAGCAGGTTTTCAGAGGCTGTAAGTCACATGAAGCAGCTTGCCCACCCGCCCAAGGAGCAGCTGGTAGATTCGAACCTTGTACTTTCCGGTTGGAAGTGAAACTCCTTATTCACCAGGCCATCAGAGCCTGCTAGCCACAGTTTCTTTTTTAAGAAAAAGTAGAAATTAATTTTCAAAACTAAAATTAGTTCTTTTTAAGCTATGATAGCAAAATTATTATCATTTCAACATGTGCTTCATTAAAACAAACAAACAAAAATGCATGAGATACTTTACATTCTTCTGCCTTACTAGGTCTTGGAAACTGAGTGTGTATTTTCTGCCTAGGACAGATCTTGGTTTGGCTGAGCCACATGCCCAGCTCGGTGCCACGTGGGGCGAGTGGCTCCACACTGGGGGGGTGTCGCTGGTGTTAGTCACCGTCTAGTTAGCCTCCACCCTTGACTGAACCTTAGGGGTCTGCAAGGCTGTGAGCTTGAAGGAGTCAGTTGCTCTTGTTTGTTGTTATGTGCCAGTGAGTCGCCTGTGACCTATAGCGACCCTGTGTACAGCAGCTCTGAAGCCTGCCCTGTCCTGAGCCAGTCTCACTAATTCCAACACACCAACCCTCATCGCCCCAGTTACTGTACCGATCCATCTCATGCAGGCTCTTCCTCTCTTGTGCTGTTCCTCCACCCTTCCAAGCATGATGTCCTTCTCCAAGGACTTCTCCAAGGTCCCTCCTGGCCACATACCTAAAGTATATGAGGCAGAGCTTCGAAATCCTAGCCTCCAAGGTTGTCAGGCCTTTATTCTGAGGTCTCTGTCCACCTTTTCTCATGCCAAGGACCAGAGTAGGGTCTTTGGGTGTTCCCACAGGGGGCAGGGAGGGTTCCTTCATCCTGGATGCACCTACTTTGGTCTCTCTTGGGTATCTGGGACTCACTGAGGTGCTGTCTGAGCACAGGAATGGCTGGCACAGGCAGGGCTGGAGCAAAGCTGCCATGCTCACTCCTTCCCCACCCCGCACAGAGCCCCGGGCCAGTGTCTCCCGGGTGGCAATGCCCCTCCTGCTGGTGGCAGGCATCGCGGCTGGCGGCATCCTAACCATCTGTGCTGTGCTGGGCCTGCTGTGCTGGCATCGAGCAAAGAGGCAGAGGTGAGGAGGGCCTGGCCAGCGGAGGTGAGGCGGGCCGGGCCGAGGGCCTGCCGAGGTGAGCTGGGGGGGCATGTGGCTGGGAAAGGAGCAGCCTCTTTCAGGAGAGACCAACCCTGTTCTTGCCTCCCTGAGCTGCCTCTCAAACTTGCCTCCTCTCTTCTCAGGGCTGAGAAGAATCCATTTGCTCATGAGCTGACCACATACAACCTGCGGTGAGTGTCATGGTACAAGGGCTGTGGGGCCTGCAGTGGGCGGGCCCCGGGCCTGCCACCCAGTCTCCCTGCAGCCTGCAGCTCAGCCACACCTCTGGGCACCCCACCTCCTTCACCGACTCCTCCTAGGGCCCTCTTGCCAGCCCCCTTCCCCTGGCTTGCCTCTCTGTCCATTCTACCTCCTACCTCTTCCCAATTCTGTCCCACCTTCTTCCTGATCGTCCACTGGATCCTATCAGGCCGGCTTTCTCTGTTTTCCGGCCTCCCCTCTATTAGATTGTGATTCACTGTGGATTTTTCTTACATCAACTTCATATTTAACAGATGTTTATTGAGCTCGGCTGCTGTTTAAGACCCGAAGAGGGGCTTGGAAGCCAGGCCTGTGCACCTATTAAGCCCAGCCCCACCCCGTCCCCACCCTGTGTGCTCCCCTTTCCTTCTCTCCACGCTGTCGAGGTGAAGCCCTACCTGAGCAGCAGAGCACCAACCATAGCCAGGTCAGGCTATGCAATCAGGCCAAAGGTGCACGGCCCTGTGCCCATCATCACCCAGGGGGTCCATCACCCAGGCCCATGCCCTCCCTCCCACCAGGTGGACCCACCGGCCCATCCCCGTGCAAAACTTCCGGCAGAGCTACGAGGCCAAGAGTGCCCACAGGCACCAGGCCTTCTTTCAGGAGTTTGAGGTGAGGAGGGAGGACGAGGCTAGGACATCCTGCCATGTGCTCACCACCTTGGCCCCTCCTGATGTGCGTGAGACAGGCCTGCTTCAGATGCACGATCTCTGCAGGAGCTGAAGGAGGTGGGCAAGGAGCAGCCCAGACTGGAGGCTGAACATCCCACCAACGCCTCCAAGAACCGCTACCCCCACGTGCTGCCCTGTGAGCTTGGGGCAGGAGAGAATGAGGGCTGAGGGCAAGAGAGGGGTGAGGGCTGAAGATGGAGGTCAGGGTCAGGGGCACGTGAGGGGCATGGTTCAGAGACTGGACAGGGATGAAAGCTGGGGCAGAAGAGGAGTGAGGGATGAGGGCAAGAGAGGGCTGAGGGCCAGGGGGGAGGGAATGGTGTTGGAAGAGGGAGTCAGCTGTGCACTAGGCACTGAAGTTACTACCTTTGCCCCTGCAGATGACCACTCTCGGGTCAGGCTGACCAAGCTGGAGGGAGAGCCCCATTCTGACTACATCAATGCCAACTTTGTTCCAGTAAGGCCACCAGCAGGCTGTCTGTGGGTGCCTCTGCTCTGGAGATGGGCTGGTTTGCAGGCACACTGTTCTGCCCAAGCTATGGCTAAACAACTGTGATGGCCACTAGGTCTAGTCAGTGATGAAACGAAAATCATCCTGTTACGAGCTCTGGTGGCCTGGTAGGGAGGGAGTTGCACTGCCACCAGCTGCTGCACAGGAGAAAGATGGGTCATCTCCTCCCATGTGATTTACAGCCTCGGAAAACCCACTAGAGGGGCAGCTATGGGTGGTCCTGATGTGACAGGGCAGAACTACAACAAATAACAGCTATTTGTGTGCTTGGCTGCTAATGCAAAGGTGAGGGGCTTGGACCCATCAGGAGGCACCTTGGAAGGAAGGTTTGCCAATCCACTCCTGGATATTGATCACAGTTCCACACACAGGGTCATCACAAGTGGGAGTGGACTCAGTGGTGGCCACTTCTCACTGTAGACCAGACACCGTGCCGGGTTGCAGCCAGCAGGGCCTGGGTTAAGGTGTACATCCCTTCTCCACAGGAGGCCACCGCGCGCGCGCGCGCTTGTGTGTGTGTGTGTGTGTGTGTGTGTGTGTGAAAGAGAGAGAGAGAGAGGTGTGACACATCTCCCACACTCTGACAAGTGTAAGAAATTAAAGACAGACATTGAGACACTGCTCAGGGCACATGGGGTGGTCCATCTCTGGAATCAAGGAAATCTTTCCAGAAGGCACTGGATTTTGGTAAAAGGGAGCAGATGAAGGGAGGAGGGTCAAGCAGGACATTCTGGCTGGAAAAGCGCCCGGTTGCACGTAGCCTGTGCCCTTGACGAGGGTACGCAGTGACGGGGTGGAAGCGGGCTAAGGGAGGGTGGCAACTAGTGAGAGGTGATCCGGGAAGGGTGGGCTGCTTCTAGATCATGGAGGACCTTTGGAAGTGATTTGGTGGGTAATGGTAACCGTGGGAGATGTTTGCGCATGGGAGGAACCAGTTCGGTTTTAGGAAGTTCATCCTGGGATTGGTGAGGAGTCACCACCACGTTAGAGTCTTGGTACTTTCACGTGCGTGTTCTTGCTTGTTTGTAATGTGCCTAGGTGGGGTTCTCCGGGTCCGATTCTTCAGGGCACTCGGCTGCGCGCATGCTCACCCATTTATCCGCATGAAAATAGTATCCTTTCTCCTGAAGGTCCACGCACACAAGGGAATTATTACTCATTGCTGTCAAGTTGATAGCAGAGTCAGAACTGACTCAGAGCTGACCCTTCAGCGTGTTTATAAAGGCTAGATATCGCACGGAAGGAGATTGCCCATTTTGTCTCGCGGTGCAGCTGTGGAATTGAACTGCTTGTCTTTGGTTTGACAACACAGCTCCTTACCCACTTGGCCAACGGAGCTTGTGCTGGGAAAGTTACTGCTGTGTGCTTAGCGAGAACTGCTAAGAAACATATTTCTGCCCTCTACCGCCCACGCCCCAGGGTTACACCCACTCGCAGGAGTTCATCGCTACCCAGGGGCCTCTCAAGAAAACGCTGGAGGACTTTTGGAGGCTGGTGTGGGAGCAGCAGGTCCACATCATCGTCATGCTGACCGTAGGCATGGAGAACGGGAGGGTGAGTAAGCCCCGTAGTTTCCAGAAGTGGCCGGCAGGTGGCACACGTTCTCCTTGTAGGAATGGCCGTGGCCTTAGCATCGCTGAGGGTGAGGCAGACAGGAGTGATGCCAGCTAGGTTTGAGGCTAGTGGGTCTCGCCAGGGTTACTGAGTATTAGGAGATAGGAAGGAAGAACTACGTGCTCCCAGTCTGACTGTTTTCAACAGCTTCCCACGTTTGTCATCATCTCTGCTTACTAGAGATTTTGGAAGTGAAGCAAACTGGCCCAGGGTGAACATTGAAGACAGGGGCATGGTACATTCTTTCTGTCAGCACGCCTGGAGGATGCCTACTTTGTGCCTGCTCAGAGTCCTTGGACTGAAGAATTTGTACTCGAGCCGGAACAGTGAGGCAAGGCCAGAAACCAGCTCAACAAGGGTCCCAAATCGTCACAACTAGACCAATAGGCAACATCATGCTGGATGGAGAAAAGATTCAAGATGTCAAGGACTTCATCTTATTTGGATCCACAATCAGCACTCATAGCAGTAGCAATAAAGAAATCAGAAGACATGTTTGTATTGGAAATCTATTGTCAAGGACCTCTTTAAGGGAAGTCAGTTTAAATATGAATTATTATGGCCTGACTTAAGTCATGGGGTTTTTTCCCCAATTGCTTTATATACTTCTGAAAGTTGGACAATGAATGAAGATGACAGAGGAAAATCTGGTGTCTCTGACTTATGGTGTTGACGAAGAATGCCGAATATCATGGACTCCCAAAAGAACAAACAAGTCTGTCTTGGGGGGCATGCGACCAGGGTGCTCCTTGGAGGCAAGGATGGTGACGGTTTTGTCTCCTACACTTTGGGCATATGGTCAGGAGGGGCTAGTCCTTGGAAAAAGATATCATGTTGGGAAAGTCAGCAGGTCTGTGAAAGAGAGGTAGATCCTTAATGAGACAGATTGACTGCAACAGTAGACTTGAGCTTGGCAGAGACCACGAAGATGGCAAGGGGTAGGGTTCCACTCTGGTGCTCACAGGATTGCTGTGAGCTGTAGGTGACTCAAAGATACCTAACAACAACAACAACAGTCCTACTAAGGAGCCCAGGAGTTAACCTAGAACCCTAAGGGTCATACAAGAGGTCTAAGTGAGGGTTCTGGGGGTCCAGATAGGAAAGAGAAGCTTCTGGAGAAAGTGAGTGGCCTTAGACTGTGATAAAGAAAAGAAGTGCAGCAATACAATGCAGGATACAAAAAGATGGGTGGAAATGGAATACTATGCTGCATTAAAAAACAAGGAACACATGCAATATTATTCAAAATGGTTGACTCTGGAGAACATTATGCTGAGTGAAATATCCCAGTCACAAAAGGACAAATATTACATGATGCCACTGTT